TTAATCCCACTTCTTAGTGTATGACACACTATTTTGCTTCATCTATTTTAGCACATTCAATTATCGACAATGTTTTGGACAAGACCATACAGTTAGAAGTAGCTTTCTCATATATAAACTTAGGTAATGCATAGAGATAGCTGACAGTTTATGATTAGGGTAGGACACAATTCTAGTTACTACTTTACCAAGAGGAGTTAAAACCAAATGAAGTCACCTAAGTTGACCTTAAACTCCTTATGCCTCAGTTAAATAAGCATTCCTGCCCCCTGTAGGGAACGTGGACCACAGCAGCATCACTGTAGCCAAAGCACACCATTGATCTCTTATGAAAGTGACTGTAATATTAGACTAGCAGAAAGGGAACTTTGATTCATTGAAACCCTTAACAAAATAGTCTCTTTGACAGCTCAGACAGAAACCCAGCGCAATGGAGTGCGGAGCTAGGATTCAGGACTGGAGGACCAAGACTGCCTGAGATTCTCAGATGAGGAGCCTGGACGACTGAGGAGGGTTTCCAAAGGAACAGAGAGCACGGTAGGGCAGGGAGGGTGTGGGGCTCAAGAGAGCTGGGCTGAAGGTTTGAGAAACCATGTTAGACAGTTAAACCAAGAGTGATGAAAGCTGAGAAATTCCAGTAGTTTTCCCCCTAGAAGTAGAGGCCAGAATTCTCATGTGATTGAGTCCCTCTGAAAAACATGTCAGTCATTTATAAACTTCTGTGGTTCAAAGTTTTCTCATAAATGAAGATATCAGGTTTTTCCTAATGGGTATCAATAGCTACAAATTTCTTATTTGGGGTTCTGGGAGAGAAGATAGCTCCTCTTGTTTCTCTTAGAGCATTTTGGATAAGCAGGTGGGTTGGGGGTTGGTCATCTAGTTAGTGGTTGAAGATTTATAACTCATGGGTCTGGAAACTGTGGGCAAGATGAAACTTCCATGGAGTCTTTCTCCTCTTTCAGCTTTGCCTGTCCCTACAAAGGTACTATTATGGAAGACTGGGTGGTAACTGGGTTACTGACAGTGCAGCCACAGTTGAGTGGCTTTTTTCTTTCTCCTGAACTAATATCTCTTCTCAGATATTAGATGTGTTTCTCCTACACAGCCTTGATCATCTGCGGCATTTATGTCTTATCCATGGCTCTGATCCCCAATTGTTCCCCACCCTCAGATGCTCCCTAAACAATTCCAGTTTAGAGTTTTCATCCTGGATTTTTCAGATGATCCTTTACATGAAAAATTGCAAGAAAATGGAGAACTTGGATTTGAGGAAATGGGGACAACAAGTATAGATTGTTTCTTTAAGTTTGATTGTGACTTAAGGAGGAATATAGCAAGTTCAAGGAAATTCAGGGGCCCTTGGACATTTTGAAGGACTGGTGAAATATGAATTCATTTAAGACAACTGAGGTCATGAGTTCCCAGAGAATATACATTTGAAAGGGAAGCCTCCCAAAATGAGTGATCAGGTGAGGGATCTTCCTTTGATTTAGCAGTTCTATGAATCACAGGCTTCTGCTGGTCTACTTGTCTCCCCTCAGCTTTTGTGCCTATACTCCAGTTCCCCACAACAGCAGAGCATAAAATGGGGACTTGTGTGCAGGTAGTTTATTTTGGGAAATGATCTCAGAAAACAGGAGTGGAGGGACCGGAAGAGTAAAGCAGGGAAGAGAAAGCCAACCCAAGAATGGAGTATTGAGCTGGTCACCACTGTGAACAACTGGCTTTAATCTAGCTGGAAGTCCTCTGCCTCCCATCACAGTCCAGGAGGCTGGGTGTTTGCCTACTGCTTTCCATCATCCATTGTCAAGCATTTCGCCAGGGAGACAACTTCTTTGCAGGTCCAAATTTGCATATTGCCAGAAAGGCTTCCTGCACTGCATCAGCAGAGAAGCTCCTGGGAGGAGCACAAGAGAAATGGAGTAAGGAGCTCTCTGATTTCACCTGGGTGCAGAGCAGTCAAGGTAAGAATGTGGCCAAGAGGATGTGAGATGGGTTATAAAAGTTGTGGCATTAGTTTAGTGGATGCTTCCTGTGGTGCTCTTAGGCAGAAGGATCTCCCCCTCTCCTCTTCCTCTCCTCCTCCCCATCTCCCCTGCCATCCCTAGTAATAAGGAATTCTAAGCCAGAAGGGACTTTCTAGGCACACAAAGCACAAATTTTTGCCAGGTACTTTTTTTTGCTGAGGAAGATTCGCCCTGAGCTAACATCTGTCGCCAATCTTCCTCTTTTTGCTTGAGGAAGATTCACGCTGAGCTAACATCTGTGCCAATCTTCCTCTATTTTGTATGTGGGTCGCTGCCACAGCATGGCTGACAAGTGATGTAGGTCCACGCCTGGGAACTGAACCTGGGCCGCCAAAACGGAGCATGCCGAACTTAACCACTAGGCCAAGGGGCTGGCTCCTGTCAGGTACTATTTCTGCAGTGCCTTATCATGAAGGTTTCCATCTGGGACACCTTCAATTTGATACCTTGGAATCCTCATATAAGAGGTGCCTGCAGATGGGTCTGATGTAGCAAACACCTAAATCTTGGCTGTCCCAGAATTAGTCAGATTTTAGGAGACCAAAGGAATGTGAAGGACTAGCCTGCTCAAGGGCAAGGAACTGAACACAATAACCCCTAAGACTCAAACTCCTGAATCCCAGCTGAATACCAGGCTGAATCCAAGCACCACCACTTATTAGTTGTGTGAACATGGGCAAATTATCTACATTTCTGCTTTAATTTCCTCATCTATAAGACTGGCATGATATATACCAACATCATATATTTGGGTTTTTTCCCTGCCTCTCTTCTTTACTTGAGGACACACAATCCACCATGGGTCCTAACCATCCCTGCATGCTCAGTTTTGGCAATGAGGATGTGATGCTGTGATAAAGACATAGCTTTCTAGAGGAAGGACAAAGGATCCCACAGGCCAGTTCCAGGGATATGATAAGACTTACTGGGAACTAACAGCAAATGCTCTCACCCGGTGGGGCCCTACTGTCCTACCTGTTGATAAAAGTTTATAGGCTGAGTGGTTAGAGGTAGGATTGGAACAAGGCCCCGGATGTGGCCTTGGTTGTTGCTCACTCTCTTCTGGGAGAAAAAGGAAGAATGTTATGACAATGTGACAGCCAGCCCTGTAGCCTAACTGAAAGGTGATCCTGAGCCGAGGAGTCTCCAAAGCTGAAATAAATGTCAGCAATGAAGATAGCACTTTCTGTGGAGTGAAAACACTGTTAAGTCCCTTCGGTTGAGCCAGGTAAGCACCTACTCAAAAGTGAAAAGTAAATGCAAAGCATTGCTTACTGGCACAGAGCAGCGTTCTCCACATTCCTTGGCACTCCATTCCTCTCTACTCCAACTTCAGATGCTTTGAGGAGGGACCAAATTTCTCTGTCCCCAAGACAGACTAAAGGCCATATGCACCCGTCCAAGTATTCAGGGGAATTTCCAGGGAGGGGAGAGACTCAAATTTGTATAGCACCTGTTGGATACTGGTGCCTAGGTCACTGTCCTACCTGGTCCTCTGGGAATGAAGGGGGTGCTGAGTGCAGGTGTAGCCAGAAGCACTGAGAACTGCAGTGTAGAGCCATGGTGGCATGATAGGAGTTGTAAAGAAAGCACCCAGGTGCCCACTGGATGCCAGGGGGCACACGGAGAGAGGAAGCAGCACCAACCCTGCAGTGAAAACCCAGGGAAGAAAAAAGCCCCCCTGTTGCCCCCCATGACATCCTGCTCTCCTCCACCTCCTGGTGGCTGCGGCTTTAGCCCCTGATGCGCATGTATTAAACTCCTTGGTCTGTCTTCCTATAGGGGAAAAATGCACCCAAATTCAATTGATGAGTTTGCAGTGAGGAAGGGGAGCTAAAGTGACCTTATGAGTGAGGCTTCTGAGCTGACTCAATGTACTGTTGTTGTGGCTCCCACTGCTCACTGCATAACTGATGCAGATGTTTTACGTGCCTGACTGAGAATGCTCACGTGCACTCAGGGACTGTCACATATACAGAAGTGACCACAGTGCCCTTCCACTGGTTCAACAGAAACAATACAGAATCCCAGGAGTAGGAGAAGTCGTAGCTTTAAAGACTTAATGGCCATGGGAGAACTCAGAGTGGACAAGGTCAATGGGGCAGAAGGGAAAGAGCCCTGGATTGAGAGCTGGACTTCCAGAACTGGTTCATCTTCCAAAGATAAGTGTGATAGTGAAAAAAAATCATAATAGATACTACATGTTGTGCAACTACTATATCCCAGACACAGACCTAGGTTCCATATGACCATTATTTCCTACAAGAGAATAACTTCTCAGGTGTAAAAATGATTATTTACAGAAGATGGCTATATGTATTTGTTTTAACCTAAAATCAAGTAAATTCATTTTCTATTTCTGCATTTCTGTGTTTTATTTAAAATCAGATAAAACACATGATTAAAATATACCAAATTAATAAAAAATATCTTCAGTATAGATTCAGCTTGAGAACAGGAGATGACATAGAAATCCAGCAAAATTTGGATATTTCAAAAGACAGATGCCTCTTCACAATATCTAGTAGAACACTCAAAAGTGTTCTCACCTGTCAGCCTCTACCACTCAAAATCCTCTCTTGTGGAATTGGAATGTCCGAGTTCAAATACTCATCTACCCAAGAATTCCCTCCCATGAACTCATCATTCCACAAATTCTTCCTCAGGCTTATTCTTCTTGGTCGTATATGCCCTGGGGAACCTGGGTCCTTGACTCATCCAAGGTCAGGGTGAAGAGTGGGATTCACTTCCCCAAATGAGCAGCCCTGGATGCCTCATCTGAGTCCACCTTTATCCTAGTTCTCCAGGAGCCACTAGTATTCACAAGTCCTGGATTTTAAGGTTCTGAGAGCCCATGATCCCCTCAAGACTCACAAATGCCTGGCCTCATGCTCCCCCTCCTCTCTCCCTCTTCTGGAAAGAGGCTTACCCCAGGGCCCAGCATCTGAATCACAGGAGCCAGTTGTGGGGGTCTTAGTTCCCATCTCTTACCCCAAGGCCTGGAAAGAGGTATTACTGAGGTCAGGATATGAGGGGCCCTCTCAAGATGTGGAAAGATGGGGCAACAAGGCAGGGGAGAAGAGGGAATAATGATGGAAACAGCTGCAGAAAACTAGGACTCCTGAGATGGAGTCAAGAGAGCACTCTCACAAAGTCTTGTGGAAGAGCGGCCTCTAAACGCAGACGTCTTAAGATGTTAAAACTGTGCGGAAGTGGGGTGGGGTAATGGGGGTGCCTCCATTACCCAGAGAGGCGGGGGGGTGGGTAGGGGATCAGTGACAGCAACTTGGGCTGACCTTGGAAGGTTCTATCCTCACCCCCATGGAAGTTGGGAAAGGAGCAGAGGCAGTGAGTAGCCCCTCCAGTGCCCTCTCTGGCCCCTTCCAAAGCACTCCTCCCCACCATCCCATCCTGCAGGCGCTTCAACATTAAAAGAAAATTTGGGAAACGAAAGGAGAAGTCTGCACTGAGGGACAGGGACAAAGCTCACGAAAAAGAGGTGAGGCATTTGAAGAGCTAAATAAAACTGCCCCAAAGGGGCAGAGCCAGAGAACTTCAGGGGTGAGGTTGAAGGATGAGGCCAGCAGAAACACAAGGGCTGCCTTGATATCAGTTCTACTTATCAGGCCCTGCAGCCTCTGGAGTCTGAGATACCTTATCATCCATCAAAAATGAGCCATCAGCCCCTACAGCAAAAATTCAGCTATTCTTCCCTGGGCAGGAAATTCTATGAACCCCAAGTGCCCTGCGAGTGTTTGCCTCCTTTCCCCATCCCTTCTCCTTCTACAACCCTTTATTCTGAAGATCTCATAACACCTCAAGTCTGTCATTGCAGAGATGGGGCCATTATAGACCTCATTTCAGCCCCTTTTCCAGGAGGGAAGACACAGGAAAGAGTGATTCCTGACTGGAAGACACCCAAAGTAATCTGCCCTGGCCTGGACAGAGGTCCCTCCTGCATCTCCTCCTGTGATTCCTGGACCTGACAGTGGTCTCACTGGGCCAGGCCTGTGTGGTGTCTTTACAATGTCTGTGTGGATTTTAATATAAAATAAACATTTTTCTTTTTATCATGTTTAAAGCAAAGTGTAAGATTGTTAATTTTTCTATTTTTCCTGCCCTATGGGAGAAGCACCTTTGAGGTCACATGGAATGATGATGGCCTACCCCCTACCCTGCTCGGCAACCCCCAGAGGAAACACACAGACTTCCCTCTGTGGCTTTTAGCTAAGGCCAAGGGAAAAGGGGCAGCATTATAGCGGTAGATCAGGCAGTAGAGGCTGAGTTGAAATGTGGTGGAGAGAACCTACATTCCAGGTTCTCCTAGCCCTACCGCCAACCAAGCTAACGCTGTGGATTCCCTAGAGATCAACTGCTTCCAGGTGAGAGGGGGTGGACAACAGCCTCTGGACCAACAACCCCGTTTATGTCTCTTCTTTTTTCCCCTCCAGCCCAAAACCAAGCCCATTTTGTGGGGTTATACAAACCTCTCCCCTTCTCTGTGGCAAATATTCTCTTGGCAAATAAAGACATAGGCCTGCGGCCCCATGGCTTAGCGGTTGAGTGCATGTGCTCTGCTGCTGGCGGCCCGGGTTCGGATCCCGGGCGGCACCGACGCACTGCTTCTCCGGCCATGCTGGGGCCGCGTCCCACGTACAGCAACTGGAAGGATGTGCAACTGTGACATGCAGCTATCTACTGAGGCTTTGGGGGGAAAAAAAAAAGGAGGAGGATTGGCAGTGGATGTTGGCTCGGGGCTGGTCTTCCTCAGCAAGAAGAGGAGGATTGGCATGGATGTTAGCTCAGGGCTGATCTTCCTCACACAAAAAATAAATAAATAAATAAAATAAAACCACATTGCTTAAAAAAAAAAAAAAAAGACATAGGCCTGAGTAGACAACCCTCCAGGGTACACTCATTGACACACAGTGCAAGGGGTAGCGCCAGCCCTGGGCCAAGAAGGAAGTGAGGTGAACTGTTAGGAATCTGGGCCATTTGGGCCCTGGGAATGTAAGACAAGGGAGCGTGGTTTTAGTTCAAAGGGCCTTAGAACCATTATTGGAGGACTGATGTAAGAGTGTGGCTAGAAGAGTGGGCACTGAGATCGGAGGGCTTAGGAGGGGCTGTGTTGACAAGCCCTGAAACCTGTATTGGAAGACTGATGATGGGGCATTGCTAGTAATCTTATTCCTGTCATTGGAGGGCCAAAGAAACATGGTTATGAGGTTTTTTTTTTTTTTTTTTTTTTGTGAGGGAGATCAACCCTGAGCTAACATCCGTGCTAATCCTCCTCTTTTTGCTGAGGAAGACCGGCTCTGAGCTAACATCTATTGCCAATCCTCCTCCTTTTTTTCTTCTCCAAAGCCCCAGTAGATAGCTGTATGTCATAGTTGCACATCCTTCTAGTTGCTGTACGTGGGACGCAGCCTCAGCATGGCCAGAGAAGTGGTGCGTCGGTGTGCGCCCGGGATCCGAACCCCGGGCCGCCAGTAGCGGAGCGCACGCACTTAACCACTAAGCCACCGGGCCGGCCCCCTGGTTATGAGGTTTAAGTCCAGGGCCTGAAGAGCTTTTGAGGTATGGTTAAAGGAACCTGAGTTTGGGATTGGAGGGTTAGGAAGGAGATATGGTGAAGGAGTCCCTCTGACGGTAGGGCTAGAGACTGAACCCTGAGCAATTCCTAAAGGTAGGGTAGAAGAGGATGCAGGAAAGGCTAGAGATGTGGAAAAAAATAAAACAGGCAAATATAGAAGCCAATGGAAGGACATAGCTGCAGAAGGAAGCAGTCAGATACAAAGACCACTTCTCCAAGAGAACCACCACTTGGTACCTCTGTTCTCAGAAGCTAGCCCTCTGCCATCTTAACACTCACAAACAGTATAAGGGGTCAGAAGACTGTCCCTGAAGCCCTCTCAGAGCTAGAGTGGGTTAGTGATGCATGGTGAACAGATTTGACTCACAGTTTCTTAAAGAGGTCACCTCCAGCTAACACTTTACCCTCACTCTGTACATAAAGCTTCTCCCTGAGCATGTCCTCTGCTGCGTGATGAGGAGTGATGAGCAGATAAAGCCTTGCCCACACTACCTCACAATCAAGGCTTCTCCCCTGAGTGTGCCCTCTGGTGTGGCTGATGGTTAATTTGTTGCTAAAGTCACACCCTCACTCCTTGTGCACCTAAGGCTCTCCCCTGAGTGTGTTCTCTGGTGTCTGATGAGGGTTGATTTATGGCTAAAGCCTCACCAACATTCCCTGCATGCATAAGGCTTTTCTCTTGAGTGTATCCTCTGAGGTGCACTGAGAGTTGACTTGTGGCTAAAGTCTTGCCCACACACCATGCACTCGTAAGGCTTCTCTCCTGTGGTGTCCTCTGGTGGGTGTTCAGGATTGTCTTGTGGCTAAAACCTCGCCCACACTCCCCACACACATAAGGCTTCTCTCCTGAGTGTGTTCTCTGATATGAGTTGAGGGATGACTTCTGGCTAAACCCTTGCCCACACTCCCCACACACATAAGGCTTCTCCCCTGAATGTGTCTTCTGGTGTGTGATGAGGGTTGATTTATTCCTAAAGCCTTGCCCACACTCCCTGCAAACAAAAGGCTTCTCACCTGAATATGTCCTCTGGTGTGTGGTGAGGTGTGATTTCACCCTAAAGCCTCAGCCACAGTTCCTGCACACATAAGGTTTATCCCCTGTGGGAATCCTCTGGTGCTTAATGAGGTCTGACTTTTCACTAATGCCTCGCCCACACACTGTGCACATAAACGGCTTCTCCCTTGTGTGTGTCCTCTGATGTCTGATGAGGTGTGACTTCCTGATAAAGCCTCGCCCACACTCCCTGCACACAGATTTTTTCCCTGTGACTGCCTTGTGTCTGAATTGGTTTGACTTCTGGCTTTAGCCAGAAGATCTAGTCCACACCCTCCAAACTCGACTGCTCCAAATCCTGATATTTCTACCCTCTCAGGAACTTTGTCTACTTCCCCAGAAGTAGTCAGTGGACTTGCCCTCTGGGCTGGACTGAGTTGTATCTTCAACACTCTGTTGCCTCCCTGAGAGCTTACCGGTGGCCCCTGGGGTGGGCTGGAGAAAACCACTGAAGTCTCCCTCTGATTTGTCTCCAGAACAAGGGTTTAGAGCCTCCTACTCCTTGATCTTCTGCTTTGGCCCCCCAGTTTTTATCAGAATGTTGTTGCTGCTGCTGGTGGTCATCTGGGCAAGGATCCTCTAGTTGGAGTTGATTTCCTGTATGTAAATCTGGGACAGGATGATTTCGTAGCTCATGTTGGCTGCGAGACTGCTGATTGCCAAAGGCCAGAGGGCAGGAGGGCCAGGGATAGACTTCTGGCTTTGATTCTGCTGAAGACAGAAAGTTTTCAGTCAGAGTAGTCATAGAAAGGGCTGACTGGGCTCTTCTTCCTTGTCCTATGGTAAGATCTAGCCCATTAATAATTCACAATGATTAATGTCTGCCTCGCCAAGACGTGCTTTACAGGACCTATATTTCCATTCAACTTCTAACTTTTATTAGGAAATAATTTCAAATGTACAGAAAAGTTGCAAGAATAAGAATACAAAGAACATCTGTGTACCCTTTACCCAAATAACCTATTGTTAGCATTTGTATGTTATGTATGTATGTGTATGTACAGGTATATGTGTGTATATTTTTTTCTCTGAACCATTTGAGAGTAAACTGCATACATCATGGTCCTTTACCCCAAAATACTTCTGTGTGTATCTCATAAAAGTAGGGATATTCTCTTTCATAACTGCAATACAGTTATCAACTTTGGTAAATTTAACACTTACATAGTACTTTTTTTTTTTTGCTGAGGAAGATTTGCCCTGAGCTAACATCTCTTGCCAATCCTCCTTTTTTTACTTGAGGAAGATTCACCCTGAGCTAACATCTGTGCCAGTCTTCCTCTACCTTGTATGTGGGTCGCCACCACAGCATGGCCGCCAAGCAGTGGTGTAGGTTCACGCCTGGGAACCAAACCTGGGCTGCAGAAGCCGAGTGCACCAAATTTAACCATCAGGCCATGGGGCTGGACCCAACATTTACATAATACTTTTATCTAACTACCATATATATTCCAATTTTGTCAATTGATCCATTAATGTCCTTTATAGCATTTTCCCTCCAGTAAAGGATCGAGTCTAGGATCAGCTATTACAATTAGTTATCATGTTTCTTTAGTTTCCTTCATCTGTCTTTTATGAGATTGGCATTTTTGAAGGATACAGTTCTTTTTTTAGAGAAAATTCCTCATGTTCTAGAATATGTATAAAACATTCCTGATATTTTCCCATGATTAGATTCAGATTATGCACTGCACTCAATTTTTGCATATTAGATCTTTTGCCTGAATCCAAAAAACTGACAGCAGAACCTATTCTACACAATATTCCAACAAGGAATCTTCCAAGTAAGCATCATAGGTATCTTCAGCTCTGTAAGCATCTGCAATTATGCTAAAATTATCTTCTAAGTGATAACCAGATACACTGACACTGAAACAATAACTATTTGTTTCCAATGGGAGAGAACAATCTTTCTGACCTATATGGGAATGTCCTTTGTGACTTTTCCTATGAGAAGAAAGAATGGATTGACATAGGAGTTGCTCAGTCTAGATGTCCTCCAGTGTAGAAGGTGGTATAGAATAGTGGTTAAAGGGAGCATATGTGAAAGCTTCATCTGAGTTTCCCCATTCATTAACAGATATTTATGAGAGGACTATTATGCATCAGGTTCTACCAGGAAGTCAAGAGTGAGCAGTAGAGAAGACAGCCAGGCACAACTGACTTAAATGATGCCAGCGCTTGGTCCCCCAGGCAGTCCAAGATCTGCTCTTCTTTGTTTTCCACAAATCAGCATATTCAGAAATTTTACCATTTGGCCACAGTTACCTAAGAAATATCAAAACTGAATCGCAACTGTTTCTAACCTAACCACCTGAAGATGATAAACCATGAACTTTTTGTACTCCCAGGAGGCCAGACCCTTTATTGGCCCTAACTGAAGACTCTTTCCTGACTAATAAATAAGAGGATTTTTCCAAACAAACATGTACAGATCCATGGATTCATTATATGCTATGCAGAATGCTAGTTTTCCATCTTTTATTAGCACAAATGCCATAAAACTGCCTTCCTAGTACTTAAAAATCCCTGACATTTCTCTCTCTCTGAACTATTCAGCAAAAATTTTTTACTGGTTTATGCCTTTGTTTGACAATTAAATAAACTCAGAATTTTTTTTTTTAGTAAGTTCTGGTGGTCTTTGTTTTATTAATTGACATTCAGGTTGTAAGAGTTATTGTTGTTATTATTATTATTATTTACTATAATAAAGAGCATTTACCATGGGCCCAGCATTTTGCTATACAGCACTTTACATGAAAATCGAATTTAATGCTGCTATTATAATTTCATAGATGGGGAAACTGTGGTTTAGAGAGCTTAAGTAACTTGTCTACAGTCACAAAGTAAGAAGAAATAAAACAGGGTTTGGGATGTGCTTTTAAACACTCTTCACAAACCACAGACAACTCTGAACTACTTAGCATACAAACGTTTATACTCTACTAGACATGTCCTTAAAGGAAAAAAAAGCTTCTAAGCAAATAATGAGACTTTTGATGCTTTGAGTGGGTCTTTGGTAAAAAGAAGCCAGCGAGCACTAAGCCCTCTGATGTAGATGCAATCTCTTTGGGAAAAAGGTAACCAAATATCGCCTACAGACTAAATCTGGGGGCAGGGGATGTTCTGGACTTTGACCACAGTCTAGGGCTGCAAAGCAGTCACCCAGACATCCTGATCAGGAGATTCCCAGACACGCAGCCCAACTGCACTGACTCTCTCAGGACCAGATGAGGGGTGGCTAAGCCATGCTGCTTCAGAGGAGCTACTGACCCTCATCCATCCAAAAGGAAGTATTCCCAGGAGCCAAGGAGAGTTCTGCCCTGAGATCAGGAATAGAAGAATGGGGTGGGAGTGGGTGACTAAAGCCAATTCTCCCTCTTCCTTCTTTATTCTACATTTCTAATAAATAGGACCCTTCACTTAAAAAAAAAAGTCCATAATGTTCAGAGTAAAAGCCAAGCTCCTTAGAGTGGCCCACTAGGTTCCACATTCTCTGGTGATATATCGTCTTTCTGACTCCGTCTATTCTCCACTCTTTGTTCACTCCACCTGAGCCACACTGATCTCTCCTCCCGATGCCTTGTGTTGGGTGGTTCCCATGTCTGGAACACTCTTCCCCCAGATACATCACAGTATATTCCAGGAACTCAGAACTGGGCCTAATATTCAATAGTTAATAAATATTGTTGAGTGAATGAGTGATACAACCAGTTAATTAAGAAAGAACTAAACAGTTAGGCAAAGACAGACAAGAAGTTCTCAATACTGTCAGAACCAAAGTCTCCTTTTTATAGTCTATGTTTTGTAACATCTCATTTAGTGTTCTGAAATGAAATTCATATTTAATAAAATGTACCCATACACAGAATTTTAAAAAATAATGCAATGCCCTGTCCAAAATTAAAAGAGAAATAAAAGAAAGCAATTTACAATAAAACATTATGCATTTCAATATGAATTTCTTGGCAGGCCTACATTAGGAGATACAACAAAGCAACCAGATGCTTATAGCTATAGGCAGATCATTGTGGGCACGACAGTTACAAACGCAGACAGATATGTATGTGCCTTATTGATAACAGACATGTGTATGTTCTATTGGTGATAGGTATAGGTGTGCCGTATAGTTGGTGACTCAAACAGTACAACCAGCACTGCCACTGGTCATGTGAGTTTTTTCATATTGGTGAACACCTCTCAGTAGAGTTCAAAACTGTTTTCCCTTGATTTATACTCTGCTATGAAAAAATAACTGTGTATTATTTAAAATAGATTTATATTCTATATTCAGAGGGTTACAAACAGATCCACGGCCTGCAGGGAGAAAAACAGGAGAGGGAGGAAGAATTGATAAAGATTTTAGAGACGTTTTAAAAAAACAGAATGTGTGGATCTTGTCTGGATCCTGACTGAAATTTGCAAAAAGACTTTTTGAGATGATGAGGTAAACCTGAACAAGGACTAAGTGTTAGATGATACTGAAGCACTACTGATAATTTTGTGAGCTGTGATAATGATACAGTGGTTATGTAAAAAAAATGTCCTTATTAGAGTTGCACTGTGATATATTTAGGAGTGGTATGACACATTATTTGGGGTTTGGTTTAAATAATTTAGCAATAAGAGGAAAAAAGATATATAGAGAAAGGGAAGGATGAATCAAGATAAAAAACACAAGATAACACAAGATAAAAACAAGACCAAATTAGATTGGCCAGTTGAAAGCAAATTTAATGGATGAATCTACATTGAAATACGTGGAGAAACTAAGTCAGAAGCCAAAGGGAGTGAAATGGGGCCAATTCAAACTAGACGAAAGCAGTTCAAAACAGGTCCAAGCAGAAAAATAGTACAAATCAGAACTACTTAATTCATAGCTCTGCCAAATGAAGAAAAATCTTGAAAAAGCTTCTGACAGAAATTTGTGTGCAACTCTGAAAATATGACTCTTAAGAACTCAGGAATATCCAGAATGATTTTATATTTGTCAACCTAGACAATTAGTCCATTTTAGGTTTTAAATAAATGGACAAAAATATGAATTATAATACCAAATAATCTATAAAACACAAAATTGACAGATTTAATTATGCTTTAAACTTTTTTTTCACTTCAAGGACACAGAAGGCATCTCTTACCACTCTCCTCTTCTCCTTGCTCTCTGTGCTCCAATCACACTGGCCTCCTTGCTTTTCCTCAAAAGGTAAAGCCATGCTCCTATCTTGGGGTCTTAGCACTGGTTGTTCCCCTGCCTGGAATAGATTTCCACCACATCTGTGTATCTGCCTTGCTTACCTCCTTCAAGCCTTTGCTCAAACATATCTCCCCATGCAAGCCTACACTGATCACCCAAATTAAAAATTCAGCCAGCTCCCTCTACATCCTGGCACTCTAGATCCCTCTTATTCTGCTCTACTTATATTTATATATATTATTCAGCTATGTAGAGCTTATTACTCTTTAACATACATAATTTACCTATACATGCTGCTTATTGTATATACAGTCTCCCTATCCTAGAATGTAAGCCCCATGACAAAAGAAATGCTTTATATTTTATTCAATGATGTGTTCTAAGAGCTTAGAACACTGGCTGGTACACTGTACATGGTCAATAAACATATGAATGGAAAAATAAAGGAAGAGAACGTGTCCTCACCCAATGAGACTAGATTCCTGAAATTCTCCAGCATCACTTCTTTCTATAGGTTTCTCTGCTCAAGGTTCAGTCTCTTCCACTCTGCCTCAGTGAAAATCACAGCCACATCTTCAAATTTCACTGATCCCTAAATCAACCAATAAATTCATACTCATCAAGTCACCATCAATATTCATAGAGAGAATGGAACCAGTGGTCCTGAAGAATCGAGCTACATAAGAAATGGATCTGAGGGTTTTCAGGGTCAGGCATTACTCCACACTTCTTGGCTTGGTGTTAAAACATACAGGAGGAACAAATAATCCACAAGACACACTCTTTGCCCTGGAACACTTACTGGGCATTAAGGGATGATGAAGATTAGAGAAGAAATGAAAGGTAACTCAGACTACAGGGAAAAACATGAGTGCTGAGGCTGGCTCTAGAATGAGCATTTGTGAACATTGATTAAAACAGATTTCTCTGCTTGAGAAATGAAATTTATAAAATCCCTATCATTGTATGTATTTTAACAATGCCTTTTCTAAAGTCCCCAATCCCTCACTCAATGTGTAGAGCAATAATTTGAATATATGAAATAGTTGGCAGGGAGGATGGCAAGTAGTATTCCTGAGAATGAAATTTCCAGATAAATGAGGTTTAACCCTTAACCTATGGGGAAAATTTTTTAATGAACATATTTACATTTTATGGAAATACATCCCAAGATCAACACTGTAAGACTGGTATTACAGTCCTTATTTCAGAGAAAGAAAACTGAGGCTCGGGGAACTTCCCCAAATGACAAGAAAATAACAGGACTGGAAAACAGTCCTGCACAGGTTGAGAGCCCTTTTTCTTCTCATTGCAGAGTGCTTTATCTTCCATCCTGCACCAGTTTTCTGTCTTTACCTCTTTTATTTCTTCCAAGTCTCAGAAACCTTGCTTCAACTTCCACATACTAGAACTATACCACATGCTTTCTCAAGTCTCTTCTCATCAGTATGGGTATTCAGTAGCATTTTCTCTCTTTAATTACACTTGAAAGATGGGTGTTGCCCTCAGATCTCGTGGTAGTCACCAAATTACTTATTTCTATTGAATTCAAGCATTATTTGCTCAGTTACCATCTGCTTCAACCTCTGGGTTGTCTGTGACACTCCTGCCTTGCCCTAGATTTTTAACTACTAAGCTCCTTCAGTCTGTGGAATTTGGGGAACGTGTGCACATCATTCCCAGCTGTCTTTGATCACCGTGAATGCCCCTTTTCTGACTCTGCTTCCTCGTTCTCAGGTCTACTTCAGCCTTCTAGTACACCTTCTAGGTGGTTTTCCCTAGGAGTTGGTGATGTATACTCCAGGTTCTACAGCCAAACTAATTAAGCTTCTGTCGTATCAAAGACCATGGTTGGGGGCTCAGGCAGAATGAGCCATAAGGTTATCAAGCCACAGCTTCTAGGCATATTCGCCTCAGAGCTGGATTCTGAAAGAGATTTAAAATCCAACATACAGAAGCGGTAGAAGTAAAGAATAACAATGCTGAATTGAGAGTGAGAAATTAGGTATAGATGTTGAAATCTTTGGGTGTGTGGGAAATTTGGGGAGGGATGTCAAATCTACAGCCTGACAGCCCAGGCAGTCAGGCTGTGTGGTACAGTGTAGGGGGAAAGACAAATGTCTAGACAGCAAGCTGGGACCCGTGATTAGGCAGCCAAGACCTGAGGGGGCAGTGGTGCCGGCTGCTGGCCCTTTCAGGCTTTCCATGACCTCTTTCTGGCATATTCTGGTCTTCATAGTCTTAATAATCTTTCCCAATCTTTTTATATCATAGGTCTCAAACTTTCTCTTGCTCAAGGCTTGTGTCTCTCATGTTCCAGCATCTTCTCCGTTTCTCTCTTGCCTTCTCTTCCCCCTCTACTCCTCCCATTTAAACATAAGACTGCCTCAGCTAGGAGAAAAGCCAGGATTTTTGCACTGTGGGTGTGTTAAGAGCCCAATCTGTGGAACTAGACTCCACAAGTCCAAATTCCCAGCTCCACCACTTATAAAATACGTGACCTTGGGCAAATTACATAACCTGTCTGTGTCTTAGATTCTACATCTATAAAATGAGTGACAATGACACCTACTTTCAGGGTTGTTGAATTAAATGACTTAATAAATATAAAGCACTTAGATCAATGCCTGATATGCAATATACATCTGCTATTGCTATTTGTTGTAATTAAGCAATATAATATTTTATATTTAAGTGAGAATTGATTTTAAAGATAAATAATTTTTGGTTCTCAAAAAGCAATCAAACATTCCACCCAACGCAATAAGGTCAGAAAAGGAAATAAAGAGCATAGACGTTTGGTAAGGAAGAAACAGAACTCTCCCTATTTGCAGATAACATGGTTGTCTACATAGAAAACCCAAAAGAATCTACAAAAAAGATCACAGAACTAATAAACGAGTCCAGGAGAGTCATAAGACACAAGAGGAACACACAAAAATCAATCATATTCCTATGTACTAACAACAACCACATGGAAACTGAAACTAAAAACATAATACCATTTGCAATCACTCCAAAAAAAATGAGATAGCTAGCATATATCAAACAAAACATGTATAGCACCTATATGCTGAAAATTACAAAATGCTATGAAAGAAATCAAAGATCTAAATAAATGGAGAGACATACCACATTCATGGATTGGAAGAGTCAACATAATAAAGATGTCAATTCTCTCCAAAATAACCTATAGATTTAACACAATTCCTATCAAAATCGCAACAAGATTTTTTGTAGATACAACGAAGCTTATTCTATAATTTATATGATAAGCCAAAGGAAATAGAAGAATAAAGTGGGAGAGTCACTCTACCTGATACTAAACTTACTACTTACTATTTGGTTACTACAATAATCAAGACAGCATAGTACTGGTGGAAGAATAGACGTAGATCAACAGAAGAGAAGTGAGAACAGAGAAAGAAGCCAAAATGAATACACCAAATTGATTTTTGACAAAGGTGCAAAAGCAATTCAATGGAAGAACAGTCTTTGCAACAAATGGTGCTGGGAACAAATGGACGTTCATAGGCAAAAACATTAACCTCAACCTAAAACCTCACACTTTATACAAAAAATTAATTCAAAATGGATAATGGATTTAAATGTAAAACTATAAAACTTTTAGAAGAAAATATAAGAGAACATCTTTAAGACCTAGGGCTAGGCAGAGTTCTTAGACATGACACCAAAACCACGATCCGTAAAGAAAAAAATGAATAAACTGAACTTCATCAAAATTAAAAATTCCGTACTTCAAAAGACCCCCACATCTCTTCCAGAAAACAGAAGCAGAGGGAACACTTCCTAACTCACCCTAGGAGGCCAGCATTACCCTAATACCAAAACCAGATAAAGACACTAGAAAGGAAAACTACAGATCAATATATCTCATGCACACAGACACAAAAACCCTCAACAAAATATAAGCAAATTGAATCAAAAAATATATAAGAAAAAATATACACCACAACCAAGCGGGATTTATTACAGGTTTGCAAAGCTGGTACCACATCTGAAAATCAATCAGTGTAATCCACCATAACAACAGGGTAAAGAAGCAAAATCATACAATCATATCAATTGATAAAGAAAAAGCATTTCACAAAATCCAAGACCCATTCATGATAAAAACTCTCAGCAAACAAGAAATAAAGCAGAGCTTCCTCACCTGATAAAGAACATCTACAAAAAAACCTCAGTTAACATTATATTTAATAGTGAGAGACTAAACATTATACTTAACAGTGAGCGACTAGACACTTTTCCAGTAAGATTGGGAACAAGGCAAAGATATCCTCTCTCACCACTCCTATTCAACATTGTACTGGAAGTCCCAGCTAGTGCAAAAAGACAAGAAAAAGAAATAAAATGTATACAGATTGGGAAAGAAGAAATAAAAAAGTCATTGTTCACAGGTGACTTGACTGTCTATGTAGGAAATCCCAAAGAATCTACAAAAAAAAAAAAAATCTCCTGGAACTAATAAGGGAGTATAGCAAGGTTGCAGGACACAAGGTCAGCACACCAATGTCAATTGCTTGCCTATATTATCAGTAATGAAAAATTGATATATGAAATTAAAAATATATATACCATTTACAATAGCACCCCAAAAATGAAATACTTAGGTACAAATCTAACAAAACATGCACAGGATCTATACGTGAAAAATTACAAAACACTGGTGAAAGAAATCAAAGAAGATCTAAACAAATGGAGATATTCCATGTCCACGCATAGGAAAATTCAATATTGTTATGATGTCAGTTCTTCCCATATTGATCTATAGATTCAATACAATCCCAATTAAAATCCCAGCAAGCTATTTTGTAAATATCAACAACCTGATTCTAAAGTTTACATGAAAAGGCAAAAGACCTAGAATAGCCAACACAATACTGAAAAACAAAGTTGAAGGACTCATATTACCCAATTTCAAGATTTATTATAAAGCTACATTAATCAAGACAGTATGGTATTGGCGAAAGAATAGACAAATAGATCAATGGAACAGAATAAAGAGCCCAGAAATAGACTGACACAAATATAGTCAACTGATTTTTGACAAAAGTATAAAGGAAATTCAATGGAGAAAGGATAGTCTTTTTTAACAAATGGTACTGGAACAACTAAACAGCCATATGCAAAAAAATGAATCTAGGCACAGACCCTCTACTTTTCACAAAAATTAACTCAATAGAGATCACAGAACTAAATGTAAAATGCAAAACTACGAAACTTCTTAGAAGAAAACCTAAACGACCTTGGGTTTGGTGATAAGTTTTTAGATACAACACCAAAAGCACGATGCGTTAAAGAAAAAACTGGTAAGTTGGACTTCATTAAAATTAAAAGCTTCTGGGCTGGCCCCATGGCTTAGTGGTTAAGTGCGCGTGCTCTGCTGCTGGCGGCCCAGGGTTCGGATCCTGGGCTCGCACCGACGCGCCGCTTCTCCGGCCATGCTGAGGCCGCGTCCCACATACAGCAACTAGAAGGATGTGCAACTGTGACA